AATTTATCTTTCACAAAAGATAAATATTAAATAAATTTTACAATTCTCATTCAAATGCTCCCAATTTAATATATGTCAACAAGTATACCAAGGCCTAAATTACTAGCTTGCCACAATTTAATTATAAGCAACATACATCCATGTGAATTAAATCTTAATCATAGAAAATAATTAAATTAAATTCTAAAACTTGAACAAAGGCATGCTTACAAGTTGTATATGCTCATATAACAATCAATACAACATTAATATAAACCTAAGACATCCCCTACCTCATTTTGAGATGAAATCTCAAATCCCCACCGAATTGAAACCGCTCCGAATCCGACGAAACTCCTAGGTTTTGTCGGGGACAACACGATGAACATGAATCCTAAGGAAGCCCCATGAAAATCACAACTACTTCAAACCCGAACTCACAAAATGGTCAGAATTGGGTTCTAATAAGGGGGAAAGATGCACGTCGTCAAGGCGAACATTAAACGTTAAGGCCAAAGACTTTTCACCAAGGAAAAATGGTTCAAAGGAGGAGAGAGAAGGTGGCAGCCCCATGGTCTTCCATGGCTGCCGGCCAACAGAGGAAGAAGAAGAGAAAAATCAGATTTTTCTTCTTAAGTTACCCTATTTATAGAAAAACCCTAAAAGTGCCCCGAAAGGGCCCCGCCGGGTTCAGAAAAGTGGAATTTGAGCAAACGCGCTCAAACGGTAAAACTCTATGAGCAAAAAAGATTCAAAATGAGAAAATATGAACAACAAAAGAAACAGCATAAAAAATCAAGTCCCGAGCAAAGAGATATGCCCTAAACAAGTTCGGTGGTAACCGGGTCCAAAAACCCTAAAACTGGAGAAAATGATCAGAAGGAAATTTTATGAGTACACGACTCGACAAAATGTGAAAATGAATCCCGTATGAGGATCCAGGCTCAAAACAAGGTATTTTGCAATAACTTTCGTTAATTGCATAATGGCCCCTACAAAAAGGGTTAACTGCAAAACTGCCCCAGAATGAAGATATCTTCCAAAAGATATTTTCTTAGATACCCCTGAAATAAAATATCTTCAAAAGATATTTATGAAAAACACCCTAAGAAAAGAAAAAGATTCTAAAGAACTGTGCATCCATGCCCCTATGGACACCAGGAGCAACTAAAGTACTTTTCTACAAAAGTAAAGATACATATTTCATGAAAACCATTTAGGATGAAGATAGGTGAAGTCAAAAACCAACTCTGAACTACAGGAGTGAGGTTATGCCAACTATATGACAAACGGGGAAAAGACAAAATAGGGAAAAGGACGAAAAGTGAATAGTGTCAAAAAACGAAAAATGTGGAAATGACTCGGTCCTCAAAGGAAGTTGTCAATCCAAAGGAAAGAGTCTCAGAAACCATTTCCAAGCACTCAAGACGACACTAAACGACAAGAAACCGAATTTAGAAAAGAGATTTCAATGAAAAAAATCCATCCGTAAAATTCTAGAGAAAAAGGAAAGGAAAGAAATGAAAGGGTCATTACACAACTCACAAAACCAATAAAATTCGTCCATCCTTCTTCTAAAAACTACACCAACCACATACCACATTCCATCTCATTTCAATGTCAATGTTTGCCCATCACCATTCAACAGGTATCAGAATTTAGTCCAAATCAAATGTTTCTAAAAAAAATTTATAAACTATTTTCAACAAAATTTTTATTTTATTTTATTTTATTATTTTACATTTTTCATTTCATTCTTTTTTTTTTTTTTTTTTTGTTTTTCAGTTTTTTTTTTTTTTTTAATTTTGTTTTCAATTTTCATATGTACACAAGAATATATACAAAGTGATAATTAACATGAAAAATTAAAATCAAAATAGCAATAATTAAAATAAAGTAAACAAAATAAGATGAAATAAAATAAAATAAAATAATAATAAAAAGTGTTCGGCACATACCCGACAAATGAGGGAGTGGAGAAGAGTAGAAGAAGAGATTTGGATGAAAATTGGGACTTTTCAACCTCGCCGGCATCGGAGAAGATGACCGGAGGCTCGCCGGAACCTCGTTGGAAAATTCAAATGCTCGCCGGAGCTTGGAACTGAATCTCCTTGGCCTAAATTGGCCAGAGATGAAGAAAATAGGCTAGATAGAGTGAAGTGGAGAGAGAGGGAAGAGGAAAAAGCTTAGCCGCGGCCAAAAGCTTCCTTGCCGCTTTCAATGGAGTCGGCGGCAGTTTGCTTGGGCTTCTTGGTTGCTGCGGCTTGAAGAGAAAGAGGAGTGGGTGGTGGCGGCTTGGAGAGTGAGAGAAATGTTGAGGGAGATTGAGAGAAGGAGAGAGTGGTTCGATGAGAGTGAAAGAAATGGGGGCTAGGGTTTGGTGCGAAAGAGAAGATGAATAGGGAGGAAGAAAAGAAAGAAAATAGAAAAAGAAAAGGAAAATAAAAAGGAAGGGAGAAAAAGAAAAATAAAATAAAAAAAAATAATAATATCCAGAATTGAATGGCCAAAGGGATTTCTAAAAAATTCAAATGACGCATTTTCGATCGATCGACGTACGTCGATCAATCGAACCCTTAACTTCGATTGATCTAAAATAGATTTCAATCGATTGAACTTAACTTTGATTGATCGAAATGGAATTTGAAAGGTCCTCAACCCAGGTGATTTAATCAATCGAAATGGGACTTCGATCAATCGAACTGGAGTTTGATTGATCGAAACCTCACTGGCAGTACTCAAAATGCAAAAAATGGCTCTCAAGCCGGATTTTTCAATGCAACTCATATCTAAATGACACAAGAACATGTAAAAATAGAAATGAGGGAGGAATTGGGTTGTTAAACCCTACGAAATGCACTAGTCTTTAATGTCTCTAGCAAGACATTGGGCTCTTTTAGCCTGGATCAAAAATCTTGTTTTGCATCCCCTCCTTAACGGGGTGAATGGCATTTTGAATCCCACCAAACAAATTGTTCCCTAAAGAACTTGTTAGATTTTATTCAAAGGAGATTGATGGTCCTTTGTCAATGCAACTCTTGGGCTTCCATACCCTTTCAACACTTGGTTTTAAAACTTTCTTCCTTGAAATCATTTTGGAAGACAAACCTTTGAAGTTTTCAACCTCAAGCAAAGATTCAAATTTTTCAATTTCATTGTCAAGACATTTTTCCACAACACACACTTCTTCATGATTGTCTATTGAACTCGGGGTTGGATTAAATATGTTTAATTTCACCTTCATATGCCCAAATGAAATTTTCATTATTCCCGTCCTACAATTGATGTTGGCATTTGCGATTGCCAAGAAGGGACGACCAGGATAATGGGAATTTGGCTCTTCGGATTTGGGATCGGTTCCGTGTCAATGACAATGAAATCGACTGGGAAAAAGAATTTATCAATTTTAATCAACATATCCTCAATAATAGCCCGGGGCTTTTTGATGGATCGATCGACTAGTTGCAAAACTACCGACGTTGGTTTCAAGTCTCCTAAGCCTAATTGAACATACACCGAATATGGAAGAAGGTTAACACTTGCTCCTAAATCAAGAAGAGCCCGGTTAATGACATGGTCACCAATGATGCAAGATGTAGTAGGTGAACCGGGTCCAAAAATTTTGGAAGAGTGTTATGTTGCAAAATGGAGCTTACTTGCTCGGTCAAGACCACTTTCTTTGGGATTAGCTTTTGTTCTTCCTCTTTTGGGTGCAAAGATCTTTCAAGAATTTGGCATAAGCTAGAATTTGTTTAATTGCATCCAAGAGGGGAAGATTTATCTTCACTTTCCTAAACATTTCAATTATTTCATTGGCCTTGGTCTTTTGCTTTTCAAGAGAAATGGATCTTTTTAAGGCATCCGAAAATGGAGCTTTTGGCTCAAAAAATTTTTCAAAACCTTTTTCAAAATCACTTTTAACACAAGAATTTTTCAAATCATCTTTCAAATTTTTTTCAACAAATGGCTCATGCACATGCAATGAAGGAGGAATAGAATGTGAAACGGGACGGGTGTCAACTTTTGGTTGTACCGGTTCACTCTCTTCATTGTGAACTCCAACTTGATTATCAATAATTTTTCCACTTCTCAAGGTCGTCATCGCATTAACATGTTCAATTGTGGGTCTTTCCGATGAGGAATTGGTCTCCACAAAAAATTGTTGTTTTAGTGGATTCAAAAGCATTTTCCCTTTTTCCCTAGCATCAATGTGCTTTCTATTTGTCCAACTTGGGTTTCTAGCTTTGCAATGGATTGGGAATGAGAATGAAGTAATTGGGTATTTGCCTCCAAAGTACCTAAAAGCGGTTAACACTTTTTCCTCAAAAGCGGGACTCCTAGAATTTCCTTGAGAATAAGATGATTGATTAGGAAAATGAGAGTTAGAAAATTGATTTCCATGTGATGATTGAAAAGATGATCTATAACCTTGGCTTTGCATTGGGGTAAGGACATACTTGCCTTGAAAACCACCTTGGGGAGGGTTTTAGCCTTCCCCTTGGCTTTTTCAAGAGAAGTTTGGATGGTTCCTCCACCCGGGATTGTACTATGTGCCATAGGGATTATTCCCTTGATTAAAAAATGTGGCATTTACTTGTTCATGATGCTCACTTTGCACATGTCCATGGGGACAATTGGAAGTAGAATGTAAGACACTAGAACAAGTCATACATGATTCATTAGATGGGTGATGAACATGATTAAGGGAGGAAGACACTTGATTCATCGAAGTTTGGTTGACCAAAAATTGATCAAACCTTTGAGATAAAGACTTAACTTCGGCGGCTGTGTCATTGGAATTGTCAACTTGATACAAGCTGACATTCTTCCTTCCACCTAAATTTCTACCATTTTTAGATGACAAAGATTGATACATTGAATTTTCACTCATGTTTTTATAAAGACGCCAAACATCTTTTTCATGCTTATCAAGATAAGAACCACCCATAGATGCATCAACCATACCCTTGTGATTATCCGGCAAACTTTCAAAGAAGTATTGAACTAATTGCCACTTAGGTATGTCATGATGTGGACACTTCTTAAGCAAATCGTTGAATTTTTCCCATGCCTCATGAAATAATTCCCCATCCCCCTGACAAAATTCTCTAATTGAAATTCTCATTGCATTAGTCTTTGAAACCAGATAATACTTTTTCAAGAACTCTTGTTGCATTTCCGCCTAAGAAGTTATCAAAAAAGGCCTAAGATTGTTGAACCAATATTTTGCCTTATCTTTAAGGATGAAAGGAAAAAGTTTTAATCTCAAAACATCTTCCGGCATGTCCGTGTATTTCACGGTGGAGTATACTTTAAGAAACTCATCCAAATGCTTGTAAGGTTCTTCACTTGGAAGTCCATGATAGTTAGGAAGCATTTGAATAGTTTGCAGTTTAATTTCATAGTGATGTGCTCTAAATGGGGACAATTGAATGCATGTAGGTGCATTATATTCATTTGTAACATAATGATCACGCAAATCAAGAGGAGGATTCACAATTGGAGGTGCCACATAAGCACCTTGATTGCCTTGAATAATGGGAGTTTGTGGAGCAAAAATTGGCCGAAGCATTCCCAATGGAACTTGGCCTTGTTGTTGTGGTGGAATGAAAGGTCTTGGTATGCCTAATATTACTTGAATGTTGTCATGATGTACATTAGAGTGAAGGATACCTTGTTGGTCTATGTGACCAAGGTCCTCCACATGGTCCTCATTGATGTCTTCCATTGATGAAATGGAATGACTAGAATTACCCCTTCCCTTAGAATTACGAGCAATGGATTCAAGATTCAAATTAAGTGGGACAAGAATAGGATTTAACGACCTACGACCATACATGCACAAACAAAACACAAACAAGCAACAAGCAAGTAGCAATCACTTCAACTCCGTAACAAATCAATAATCAACAATCCTCCACATACAATGATCCCATACTCTCATGCTTTGAACAATATGCAAAAAAAATTAAATTGCCTCCACGCGAGCTCACGATTTATCTATGAAAGTAAAGACTTGCCTCCACGCGGACTCACGATTTAACTAGAAAAAGAGATTAGAGAAGCTCACAAAAGGTCCTTAAACAACTTCAAATGATTTTTTATTTTTTTTTTCTTTGCCTTGTTTTGCTTTGAAATTTTTTTTATTTTATTTTTGAGCTTTTTATGTAATGACCCGGTCATTTCCTTCCTTTTCTTTTTCCTCAGAATTTCACGGATGAATTTTTTTTCGTTGAAATTTCTTTTCTGAGTTCAGTTTCTCGTCGCTTAGTGTCATCTCGAGTGCTTGGAAATGGTTTCTGAAACTCTTTTCTTTGGATTGACAACTTCCTTTGAGGACCGAGTCATTTCCACATTTTTCGTTTTTCGACACTACTCACTTTTCGTCATTTTCCCTGTTTTGTCTTCTTCCCTATTTTGTCTTTTCCCCGTTTGTCATTTGGTTGGCATAACCTCACTCCTTGTGTTCGGAGTTGGTTTTTGACTTCATATATCTTCATCCTAGGTAGGTTCCACAAAATACGTATCTTTACTTTTGCAGAAAAGTACTCTGGTTGCTCCCGGTGTCCATAGAGGCATAGATGCACAATTCTTTAGAATCTTTTTCTTTTCTTGGGGTGTTTTTTATAAATATCTTTTGAAGATATTTTATTTCAAGGGTATCTAAGAAAATATTTCTGGAATATATTTTTATTCTGGGTCATTAGTGCAGTTTTCACTTTTTTGAGGGGCCATTGTGCAATTAATGAAAGTTATTACTAAATGCCTTGTTTGGAGCCTGGATCCTCGTACGGGATTCATTTTCACATTTTGTTGAGTCATGTACTCATAGAATTTCTTTCTAGTCATTTTTCTCTAATTTCAAGGTTTCTGGACCTGGTTGCTGCCGAACTTGTTTAGGGCATGTCTCTCTAATCGGGACTCAGTTTTTGACGCTGTTTCTTCTGTTGTTTATATTTTCCCACTTAGAATTTTTGTCATTTATAAAGTTTCACCATTTGAGAGCTTCTGCTCAGATTTCACTTTTCTGGACCCGACAGGGCCCTTTCGAGGCACTTTTTGAGATTTTTTATAAATAGGGGGTCTTAAGTAAAAAAGTCAGATTTCCATCATCTTATTCACCCTCTTAGCTGGCAGCCATGGTTGCCCAAGGGGTTGCCTTCATTCTTTCTTCTCCTCCACTTGATTTCCTCAGTGAAAACTCTTCGGCCTTAACGTTTATCGTTCCCCTCGACGTGCTCTACCTTTCCCCCATATTAGAATTCATTTCTGACCATTTCTTGAGTTCAGGTTTGAAGTCAAGTTGTGATTTTGATGGGGCTTCTTGGGAGTTCATGTAGATCGTGTTGTCTCCGACAAAACCTAGGAGTTTCATCGGATTCGGAGCGGTTTCATTTCGGTGGGCTTTTGAGATTTTCATCTCAAATTGAGGTAGGGGATGTCTTAGGTTTATATTATTGTTGTATTGATTGTTTTATAAGCATATACAACTTGTGAGCATGCCTTGTTCAAGTTTTTAGAATTTAATTTTTTTATTTTCTTTGTTTAGGATGTAATTCTAATGATGGTAAATAGTTTAGAATTAAATTGTGGCATGCTAGTAAATTAGGCCTTGGTGAGTTATGTAACATATATTAAATTTGAGACATTTGAATAAGAATTGTAAAACTTATTTAATATTTATCTTTTGTAAAAGATTAATTCACATAGTTGTATCAAGCATGAAATCAACTTGTAATGCGATATTAAAGTAGGCCTTAGTGAATTCTTTAACATATGTTAAATTGAGGATATTTGGATATGTTTGAAAATCTAGAGAAAAATTAATTAATTAGCTTAATTAATTTGTTTTAAGTGTATTAGTCACTTAAATTGATATTGGATGTAATAGGTTGATAATTCCTTCAAATGTAGTCCGTTTAATTACCTTGTGAACATGCTACTAACTTGTTGTAGAACTAGTACTTGTTGCCTCTAAAGATGGTAATTTGACTTAGCATGATAGGTGATATCATTGTCTTGAATAGCTCGTTTAAATATATCTTGTGTAGGTATATAGCTTGTTAGAATATTACAATTGCTTACCTTGAGAGCTTGTTACTAAATTGTAGCTTATTTAGTACTTGTGGCTTAGGATGGTAATGTGGTTCAATTGTTGTAAAATATTCTTGCTTTGTGTATAAATTGCATAATGGAGACTTGACACGTCATATGCTATTTAGACTTGAATTCTAAGACATGGTTTGTATAGATTCAACCTTACTTATGCATGTAAATTGATTCCTAGACATTATTTGAAATGTATAAGTTTGGTTTAACTTATTGATTTTGCATAAGTTTTGAACTTATTATTTTTTGAGGCTTGTAAGGATTATGTTCATATGATGGCTAGGGTCAGGCCCTAGTACGGATTCGTGAGTTTCCTAAGTCATATGAAGTGCGCAGTAGGTAGTGCCTTGTGGGTCGTAATTACCCGGAATAACTTATACACATGCGCACTAGGTAGTACCTTGCGGGCTAGTAACCCAGAATAACTCGATTAGTCTGCAGCCAAGGATCGTAGTCTTTCCACTATTTGATTTCGTATTTAATTTCAAGTTGTTAATCATAGATTACTTGTAGCTTGAGAATTGATGCTTACTTGGATATTTGAATCCTGTTTAGTATACTTGAAACTGTATACTTGTTTTATGTATTTAGATCATAATTAGTATACTTGATGAGCGCTGAAAAGTGCTTATTTAAACCCCTTAAGCTTAGGTATTCTAGAACCTTTACCTATCTTATTTTACTGTTTTGTATTGATTTCGTGTTTTTTCCATTTTCAGGTACTTATCCCCAAAATAAGCTAACTAAGCCAAATAAGAGCAGAAATGAAGCAATTCTGGGATGAATCAAAGAAAGGAGCAAAGTAGAGCAAAAGGAAGCAAAGGGTGGAATTTCAGCAACTTCGATCGATCTCAAGAAAAGTTCGATCGATCCAACTTCCATCGATCTCAGCACTTCAAGATAGATCCAGGCCATGATGTCATTTTCAGAGATCCCAAAAGTTCGATCGATCCAACATCATTTTCTGTTCAATTGAACCTTCTTGTCCTTATCCACATGCCAGATCTTATCCAGCTGTACCACCCTACCAACCACTTTTGTCCTTTTCCCAAAAATATCTTTAAAAATATCTCAGATTTTATTTTATCCAAAAAGGCGCCACCATTGAGGATCGATCCAGCTTCAATTCGATAGATCTCAGCCATGTTCGATCGATCTCACCTTAAGTTCGATCAATCGAACCTCCCAAATCCCGAGAAAAATCCAAGTTCCAGCTCATTAAAAGTTGTCTCATATCTAATTGATGAGCACTGAAAAGTGAGCATTTAAACCCGTTAAGCTTAAGCATTCTAGTGCCTTTATCTATCTTACTTTTCCGTTTTAGACTTATTACGTGTTATTTATATTTTCAGGCACTAATCCCAAAATTGAGCTAACTCAGCCAAATAAGAGCTTAATTGAAGCAATCCTGAGATAAACTAAAGGAGGGAGCAAAGTGGAGAAAGCAAGGAGCAAAAAGGAATCAAAGTTGTGCAGCTGAAAAGTTCGATCGATCCAACTTAGAGTTCGATCGATCGAACATCTATGATCGATCACAGTACTTCTCGATAGATCCAACCTTGGCCTTTGCTGAAATTCCAAGTTCGATCGATCCAACATCACCTTTGATCGATCGAACCCTATTTTGTCCTATTCAAATGATTGATCTTATCCACAGCTGTACGCCTACCAACCACTTTTGTCCTTTTCCCCATAAATATCTTCAAAATATCTCAGCCTTGTCCTTATCCGGCCAGAGGAGTCAGACCAGTTCGATCGATCCAAGATGCAGTTCGATCGATCGAACCCATCTTCGATCGATACAAGTTAAGGTTCGATCGATCGAACTTCCTCCAGCGAGAAAAAGTTAAAGTCCAGCTCATTTATTCCGTCCTTCACCCAATCATTGGAGAATATGCCTTGCACGACCACAGCTCATCATAGGGTGTATTTGACCTACCTATATAAGGAATATGATACACTTTTTGGAGAGGAGCCTAGAGTCTCTTGTCACACATTGAAAATCATCTTGGAGGCTAT